TTGCCTATGATTTGATTGAAGGAATCTAGAACTCATTAACTTCTTCATCTTATACCACGTCTTAATGGGTTGTTTGGATTGTCGCCTTCGATCATATTGCAATTGTTTTCACCATGTAGAAACATAACCTTGTAACTTACATGCGACATATTTGGCTTGCTTTTCTTTAGAGATTTCCATACAGTCAAGGAATTTGTCAACTTTGCAAAATCAATAAATAAAATCCTCGGCATGACAAGAAGCATTAAAATAGGAAAGTTCTGGTGGTACTTGATAATCTGAAAAGTCATGATTGATGCAATTATTGCTATTGAACACATCACGGAATCTTCGTTGTTGCCTTACCGACTGGTATTCACCATAATCCTCGAATAACTCATCTTTAGATTCATCTTCACTATCGTATTGATAACCAGAAGATCGTCTCAAGACGTTGTGGTTAATAGGCTGGCCTTGGGCAAATCCCATAGCGGGGTTCCTATTAACGTTGTGACTAACGGGTTGGCCTTGGGCAAGTCCTTTGACTCGAATCCTATTAGATCTTTCTCTATGATCATCGTCAATAGAGCTTGTGCTTCGTCTTTCGATGAATGACATCGAGCCAGGAGAAACCTTGCTCTGATACCACTTGATGCAGCGAAATACAAAGGGACTAGATATCGTTCTAGTAGACGAAAGGGGCTCTCGAATCCATGAGAAAAATAGAACCTTGAATCTACAAGGAAGAGAAAATATCTTAATATTATTGAATAAAAGTTGTTTTTGCCATGAGGCTTACATAGCTATTTATAATAAACTAAACCTAATACTTGTAGAAAAAGTAATTCTAAAATAAATTATGAAACTTAAATCAACACAAATTAGGAAACCTAAGAGAATAGAAAATTAAAATTCTAAACTATTTAAAATCCTAGTCAAAATCTAATTCCAAAATAATAAAATTAAGAAACCTAATAATTCTAAAATATTTATACTAAATTACAAGAATCCTAATAAAATAATATATCAAAAATATTAAAACTAAAAATATAAAATTCTTAAAAGCCTGTCCTACATTTAGTCTCAACCAATGCCCGAAGAACCGTCTTGAAATTAAAGAAATGCAAAAGATTCCTTATGCCTCGGCTGTAGGGAGTCTAATGTATGCCCAAGTATGTACGCGTCCGGATATTGCGTTCATAGTTGGCATGTTAGGCAGATACTTAAGTAACCCCGGCATTGATCATTGGAAAGTAGCCAAGCGAGTTATGAAGTATTTACAGAGAACAAAGGAATATATGCTCACATATAGGAGTTCGGATCAGTCAGAGATCGTTGGGTATTCCGACTCCGATTTTGCTGGATGCCAAGACAGTAGGAGATCCACATCAGGCTATATTTATCTGTTAGCCGGTGGAGCGATTTCTTGGAGGTCTGCAAAGCAGACGCTCGTAGCTTCGTCCACCATGGCCGCAGAGTTTGTAGCATGTTATGAGGCATCAAATCATGGAATATGGCTGTGGATCTTTGTCACTGGGCTATGCATTTTGGAAGGTATTGAAAGACCACTCAAGTTATACTGTGACAATAAGTCAGTGGTTCTACATTCCAATAACAATAGGTGCTTGACAAAGTCGAAGCATATTGACATCAAGTTCCTAGTTGTAAAAAAAAGAGTATAGAGTGGACAAATTTCCATAGAGCACATTGGGACAAACTCCATGATAGCAGATCTGCTTACGAAGGGTCTACCACCCAAGGTCTTTCATGAGCACACTGCTTATATGGGTGTTGTTCTATTTGAGAACATTCTGGTTTAGTGGGAGTTTGTATTTGCATTACTACTTTATGTTAGACTTGAGTTTTATCTATGTACTTGGATTGTTTTCTGCAGAAATGAAGTATTCAATTTATTACACTCTGTTACATATTTTGAAGTATTGATCTCAATAAAGTTAAGTAGGACCAGTTGGAAATAGGCATGTGTGGATCACATTACATGTAATTTCCATGCTCCGCATCCATAATTGATCTATGTCATTTGGTTGTGTTGGTATACGTGACCATTGATGGGTCAAATGTAACAAATACTGCTTTGACCCTATATCAATATAGTTAATGGACAAGATTGTTTGGATACCCTCAAGTCATGATAACAAATTTCTGAGTTCACTAAAGTTAAACACATTTATCAAGTGACATTTGTGGTCTAGTGGGAGATTGTTGGATTAATTTCTAATTGGGACCACATATTTAAATGTGTGTTATCATTTATAAGAAGCCTAAACTTAAGTGATCTAATTTAGTTATAAATAGGCTTAAGGGTATGTTTGTCATGGAATTAATATGTAGATACCATTGTGTAATTTCTATTTCTATGAGGGGCAGAAATAGAAATTATGATAGTTTCCAACCGCCCAACCGCCATATGGAAAAACTATAAATATTTAGGGGTAATGGTCTCCAATCCTGTCTAACATATACATATTCTCTAGATCCTCTCTTGGAGAAAACAAAAAGGCATTAAAGTAAGGAAGAAGGATTGGAAGACTATCCTGAAATCACGTTTCCGCTCAACCATCATAATGGATTTGGGTACACATCTCTCTTCGATCTCTTAATAATACAACATGATACGCTATCCGATGTTTAAGATTCTTAGGATTTAATTCTAGCAATTCATTCTTTGATCATGTAGCGACTGATATCCAATTTAGGGGTATATATCATAAATTTTCCTATTCGTAACTTTTACTACAAAATTACCTAACACACACCACAAAATGAATAAGGATATTTGGTTTAGTCGTTGTGTTAACACCCTTTGTATGTTGTGAGATTTTAAATTCAACTCTTATGAATAGGAGTTTAATACTTTCTGTGATAGTGATGGTTCATTTTTCCATTGTTATATGGGAGTTGTATTTAGCCTTTGTCAACATGAACTTTCACACTATCATATTGGCACAACTGAAATGTAACAATTATTTTACATGGGTTTCTTGTGCTCTGGCAAGCTAACTTTTTTCTTCTCTCACACAACTAAACAATTTTGGACGTCCTTATTCCCAATTTATTTCACACTTTCTAAATTTAGAATTAATTACATTTACCACTTCTATATTTTTATCAGAATCTGACTTTCATCTTTTAATTTTTAATATTTGTTAGTCTCAATAACAACAAATAGATAAAAGTTTGACATTGCAACTAAGGATGGCAATGGGGTGGGTAGAGTGGGTTTTACCCTTCCCATCCCCAATCTCTAATTTTTATTTTTTCCCCATCCTCCATCCCCAATCCCCAACGGTGACCAATTTCTTACTACCACTCCCGTCCCTCATGGGGATTGGTTTTCCCCACCCTTAACATTGCCGGCCCATTTGCTTTGCTTCATTGCTTTGCTTTAGGTATATCTCCATTAATATAAACAAAACAAAAGCACAAAAGTTAAGATTTGAAAAAAGTGAGTGAAAGAGACAAATTGACTAAGATTGTGTTTGGTGTATGGATTTGAAGACGAATTTTTGATAGATTTTATACACATTTTTTTTTTGTTTTTTCAAATATCTTTTCAAATTCATGAACCAAATACAATCTAAAAATAATATTTAAAAAAAAAAAGAAGAAGCTATACTGTTTCAATTTTTTTTTCTTCTTTTTTAGATCGAGTACTGCTTCAGTTTAATAAAAACAAGCAAACAAAATTAAGAAGATGGAAAGTAACAGGGAAAGGAAAAATCAATTAAAAGAAAGAAATATCTTTCAAATTATTGAAAGAATCTCACACCAAAAAAAATATTAATTAAAATTAACTAAAAATTTTGTAGATCCTATTCGATGATTTTTCTACTTTTACACCAAGAACAAGTTGATTTAGGTTCCATTTGTTTTGATATAAAATATTTTTCATATAAATTGATTTTACACAAAAAAAAAATAAAAATATATGTATTTGCTTTTCGACATTGAGTGCATAATTGAAACGAAAAATTTATATTGCATGAAAGAGTTAGAATACCTATTTGAAAAGTTAAATGTGCTAAAAGAGTTTGATTACATAATTTTTAATGTCAAGTAGTTTTTGGAACTATAATGAAAAACATTTTTAATTATATTTTGTTCAACCAAACAATAAAAAATGAATACAATATTTATAAAAAAAAAAGATGTTTTACGTCCAAAAAAAAAAAAAAACTTTAATAAAAATAGTTTGTAGTAGTAATAATAATAATAACAATTTACCCTGAATGGGTAAAAATTTCATGTGAAACTATTTGTGATTTTTTATTTTTAATTCTAAATTTAGTAATTAGGAGGCGCAAAACATAAAGGAATTATTATTATTTTCCTATGTTTAGTTATAAATTGGACTACATTGACTTAATTATAAAAGTTGAAAGGCATAAATAAAAAAATTAAAAGTACGATATTTACACTTAAAATTTCAAAGAATTAAAAGTTTAATAATTACATTGAAAATATAATCAAATTTAGAAGCAGTAATTGATAACTTATCATATATATATATGTGTGTGTGTGTGAGTATAAAGATAACAATAGTATATATAAATTATTTTAGCATAAAATACCAATAGTTTGTTAAAGCATAGTTTGGTTAGCAGCTTCATCAGGTATGGCGTTTGGGACATGGGAGACTTTTTTGTTTTTACCTTGACTTGGAGACAAGGGGACGGGTTATTCACCATTGGGTATTCACCAATCTAGCCCCCAAAAAATCGGAGATTCACTAGCCAATATTATATCCGACCCGTGGAGGGAAAATTTGGGGAAATCTGCTCTAATAATAGCGGCAGGTGGGTCCCCATCGGATTCGGATTTAATTGCCATCCCTAATTGCAACTTGATTTAAAATGTATAAGGTTAACCGTTACAACTGAATATGAAAAAGCTAAAATGAGATTTTAGATTTAAAGTGAAAAGATTAAATTGAGATTCTAGATGAACTGTTGGGATAACAAATATAATTAACTTCTAAATTAATAAAAGATTGGTTGGCACAATTTGAAGGACTTCCTGTAAAAATTGGTTCAGCCATGAAATGGTAGAGTTCCTAATTTATTGCTTAACAATTATGAGAATGACGTATCAAAAATAATAAATCTATGTACATATTACTAAACCACAAAATTGATCATAGAAATGATAGTTGGAGCAACGAGTGTGAAGCAATCTCTTCAGTGGCCGGCCTCAGCAAAGTGGAGTTGTTATCTGAGTCGAGATCTTTGGATTCCTTGATTGACCTTCTCTTTGGATTCCTTGATTGACCTTCTGCCTTCAATGCAAGGTTATTGACCTCACATTGCCCTTGGAAAGAGACCTTCATGTTTCAACCAAGAAAAATGAATTTGAAAGATGTCTTCACAATTGAAACTCACAAACAAAACAAGCAAAACTAACCCAACCATCTTTGCAAGGAAGAAACTCTTTGCTATACTTTTGCAAATGACTGCCACACTGTATTTTTTGATACTTCTCTATCTGTACTTGAAACTCATGGCTTTAGCTGAAGACGAAAACCAGTTCACCTACAATGGCTTCCATGGAGCCAATCTTCACCTTGATGGAGTTGCACAAGTCCATCCCAATGGTCTATTGCAGCTCACCAACACTTCCAAGCATCAAGCTGGCCATGCTTTCTACCAAACTCCTATAAAATTCAATACATCTTCTTCATCCGGGTATGGTTCTCTTTCATTTTCCACCAATTTTATCTTTGTCATGGTTCCTGAAATCACAAATTTTAGTGGTCATGGAATTGCCTTTACCATCTCTCCATCTATGGACTTCACCCAAGCTGTAGTGAGCCAGTATTTGGGGCTTTTCAATTCTTCCAACAACGGCCTCACTTCAAACCATCTGTTGGCAATTGAGTTTGATACTATTAAGAACCTTGAATTCAGTGATATAAATGACAACCATGTTGGAATTGATGTTAACGGCTTAAATTCTACTGTATCGGCTCCTGTTACATACTATTCCAATAGTAAAGGAATAAACAAGAGCTTGGATCTCATAAGTGGAAATCCAATGCAAGTTTGGATAGACTACGATGAAGTGGCAAATTTACTAAATGTAGCAATAGCTCCGATTAAGAATCAGAAACCAAATCGGCCCCTCCTGTCGATACACATCAATCTTTCTCTAATTTTGTTGGATTATATGTATGTTGGTTTCTCTTCCGCTACTGGATCAGTTGCAAGCAACAACTATATTCTCGGGTGGAGTTTCCACAAGAGTGGGCAAGCACAGAGCTTAGAGCTTGCAAAGCTTCCTTCATTTCCCAAACAAAGAAACCGAAAAGAGAAATCAAATCTAGAAATTACGGTCTCATTGGTAACGGTGTCTATTGTGCTGATCATCACGATATTAGGGATCGTTTACTTTGTCAGGAGAAAAAAATATGAAGAAATACATGAAGTTTGGGAAAAAGAATATGGTCCTCAAAGATTTTCCTATAAGGATCTCTACAGAGCTACCAAAGGTTTCAAAGACACGGAGCTTATTGGAGCAGGAGGCTTTGGGAAGGTTTATAGAGGAGTGCTTCCCTCTTCCAAGCAACTAGTTGCAGTCAAGAAAGTCTCCCATGATTCAAAGCAAGGGATGAAGGAGTTTGTGGCTGAGATTGCTAGCATGGGAAGGCTAAGGCACATGAACTTGGTACAACTGCTTGGCTACTGTCGGCGAAGGGGAGAGATGCTCTTGGTTTATGATTATATGCCTAATGGAAGCCTCGACAAGTTCCTATTTAGCAACAAAAAGCGATACCTCAATTGGGCTCAGCGTTGTAGAATCCTCAAAGGAGTAGCATCTGCCCTTGTATATCTACATGAAGAGTGGGAACAAGTTGTTCTTCATAGAGATGTGAAGGCTAGCAATGTTCTATTGGATGATCAACTATATGGGCGACTAGGAGATTTTGGGCTTGCTAGATTATACGATCATGGAGCAAAACCACAAACTACCCATGTGGTTGGCACTGTTGGTTATCTTGCTCCGGAACTTACTAAAACTGGCAAGGCTACTACAAGCACCGATGTCTTTGCTTTTGGTGCATTTTTGCTTGAAGTGGCTTGTGGAAGGAGGCCCATAGATCTGCAAGGATTGCCCGAAGAGATGATTTTGGTTGATTGGGTATTTGAAAAATGGAAACAAGGAGTTATTCTTGAGACATGTGATCCTATATTGGAAGGCGATTATCTAGCAAATGAAATGGAGTTGGTTTTGAAGCTAGGTTTACTTTGCTCTCACTCTAATCCAGCAACAAGGCCTAGCATGAAGCAAGTGATGCAATACCTAGATGGAGATACTTTCTTTCCAGAGACAATTCTCGAGGGTGCCGGCATTGACATGCTTGTGAAGGATAATAAAACATCTACTGAGTTTTTCAAGTCAGTCCCTTCATCATCTGGAAATTATTCTGTTTATTCCGCATCTAGCAGTGATTCCATCCTCTGTGGTGGTCGTTGAATTGGAAAAGATTCATGCTTGGATATGCTAGGCGTATTTTTTTTTTTGAAGCGTCATCTATATAGCTATAATGGAAACCGCCTTTGTAATTGAAGACAGGGCTGCGTATACATTACCCTTCTCAACTCTATTTTAATGGAGGTCACCTGTATTGAGTCTCTTCTTTTTTTTTTTTTCAATAATCTTTATATTGGTATTAAGAATTAATGAAAGATTAAAGGGTTTTCGTAGCATTTGAGATAGAAAGATTGCAAATATTTTTATCATGCATCAATCATCCAATGTTATCAGATATAATTCCCTCTATAAGCATGTCAGTTAAACAATGTTGAACTCAACTATAAACCATGCAAGGTAACCATTCTTCATCTTGTTTTCACAACATCAATGTAAACTGTGTCTATCTTAAAGTATTACTTTTAAATTTTTGTAACAAGTTGATTTAGTTTAATCTTTGTTAACTCTTGATTATTGATAGTGAATTTTGGGTGACTTGGTGTACTAAGATTTATGTGTGATTGCTAAAGATACTACAATTGGCACATTAAATTGTAATCTATTAAATTAATTTAGCGAAAAAGCAAAAATTACACTAAAAGGGGATTGGTCAAGCAAAAAAATCCGAAAAACAAGATTTAAGGTGTTAAATTCAAATCTTTGAAAGGCCTATGAAAATTTATCCAAATGTTGACTTCAGAATATCTAAAAGGTAGTGGTTGGAATATCCAAGTGTATTTAATTTTTTTGTTTTCTTGTAGTACTTTTACTTGCCGTGTTGAAATGTCTTGAAGACCTATTTAATAACTTACAATCAAACCCCAACTTGAATTTGGTTAGTTTTTTTTGTATTCTAGATATTTTTAAGCTTCGTTTGTCGTTTGGTTAATATAATTAATTTTTTTGTATTAAGATTTTTTTAACTTGACTTTTTAGTCTCGTTTGGTTTGATTTTTATTTTTTATTTTTTTGATTTTTATGAAAAAAAAAATGTAATGATTATGATTTGAATGTGACATCTTATCTTATTAATTTATGTAACTTATGTTGTCTTTTTGTACTTTTTTTTAACCCTAAAATCTTAGCCAAATGAGGGCTTAGTAGTGTCATGCCTTTGCCACTGTCTTGGAAAAGTCTTGAAGATCTATTTAAGATATTTGACATTCTAAACCTTTAATTAAGTCCGTAAAATGGACAACTCAACTAACTAATTAAGTCCATAAAATGGACAACTCAACTAACTCAGTTAAGCCTAAGGATCCCCTGTCTTCCAATATTTTTGTCTTTCTGTCTTAAATTACTTACAATCATTAGATATATCTTGAGATTATCAAATTTTAAAATTCTCATATGATCCAATGATTATGAGTGATTTAGGATAAGAGATAGAAATATTTAGGGACAAAAGATCCTTGCTCCTCAGTTAATTACTTTCAGTCTTTCATTTAACATATTTCACATTTGTAGTAGTACGATGCCTACTTTCATGCAAAAGTCCCGAATACCTATTTATTAACTTCAAATAATTAACTGATAACTTGTTTTCAATGTATTTTATTTTGTTTGGGGTAAGTTTTTTTGTTGGATTGATCTTGTTGTAAGTGTCGTTTGGCTTATCTTACCTCAATGAAAATTTCTATTGACAAAAAAAAAAAAAGTATTATATTTTTTATTATTATTTTATTATTTTTATTTTAAAAGTGATGATTAAATTTGAGGATTTTTTTGCAGTTACCATTATACTCTCTTATACATTGTTTAAAAAAATATTTTGATTTATACTTTTAATTTGTATAAATTACACTTTTTTTTAACTCTTTGATTTAAATTTTTAAATACTGTAAATAATATTAACTTAACTCTTAATATTGTCATTTTCATTTAAATTAATTATGAAATTAAAAGTAGATTTAAGTTGCATTTAGATCAACAGTTTGAAAAAAAAAATATTTATAGAGAGAAATAAAACGAGAATAAAAGAGTTTAAAATGGATAAAGAAAACACTTCAATTTAATTCTCTTTTTCTTTTCTTTTCTTTTCACTTAAAAAAAACCTCTTTTCAAATCGTTAATGTTGTGTTTGAATCATGGATTTGGGTAGATATTTTGAAAGGAAAAGGGAAAAGGTGGTTAAAATGTCGGTGAAATGTAATTGTATTTAATTCACATTTACCCTATCTTTTTCTAAATCCCTATCCAAATTTATGATCCAAACACATCCTAAAAGATAATAATGATGGGAATGACATGAGAGTTTGAACTCTAAATTAAGAGTTATATTAGCTCTAATTGGTGTGTGGGTCCCATGTGATGTGATATTTTGGCCTTAATTTTTTTTTTTCTTTTTTATTTTTTTTTCCACATCATTAGTACTCTTTTAGAGCTCCCAAATTAAAGGGATGTATCATTTCTGTGGAAATTACTATTGAAAAGTGGAGCTGTTGTCATCCGAGCCACAATCTTTGGTTTCACTACAACATATAAGAGTTTTAGAAACCAAATGTTTTGGTCACTAAAAGTGAAAATTTTATGCAAAAGACATTTAGGGACCAATTTCCATTGTCATGAGGATAATCGCTAAAAAGTCGTCTCGAAAAGTCAAAAACAAGGCTTTTAGCGACGAAATTTTGAAAATGTCATACTCTTTTAGAGCTCCCAAATTAAAGGGATGTATCATTTCTGTGGAAATTACTATTGAAAAGTGGAGCTATTGTCATCCGAGCCACAATCTTTGGTTTCACTACAACATATAAGAGTTTTAGAGACCAAATGTTTTGGTCACTAATAGTGAAAATTTTATGCAAAAGACATTTAGGGACCAATTTCCATTGTCACGAGGATAATCGCTAAAAAGTCGTCCCGAAAAGTCAAAAACAAGGCTTTTAACGACGAAATTTTGAAAATGTCACTAACAAATAGACTTTTAGGGACAAAATAATTTGGCCTCAAAATGATTTATTTTTTGAGACAAAAAATTTGGTCCCAAAAGGATAATAATTCATCACTAATGTCTAATTTTTGTTACTAAAAATATGATAACGACACTTTTTGCAACAAAATTATTTAGTCCTTAAAAAATAATTTTATCCCTAAATTTTGATTTCTAAAAGCTTAATTTTTTGAAGTGTTTCTTGGTTGACTTGCAGCCCTCAATATGAGGATTGTTGATTCCCCGTTACCCTTGCCAGGAGACCCTGATATTTCAGCCCAGAAATATAAATCTAGAAGATGTGTCACCATAGAAAATCATAAAAAAAACAAGCAAAACTAACCCATTCGTCTTCACAAGGAAGAAGTTTTCCTACTTTTTTAAATGACTACCACTCCAATATTAGTTTGTTTTCTTATACTTTTCCATGTATACTTTAAAATTCTGGCCTTAGCTGAAGATGAAAACCAGTTCATCTACAATGGTTTCCATGGAGCCAATCTTTACCTTGATGGGGTTGCACAAATCCATCCCAATGGTCTATTGCAGCTGACCAACAGTTCCAAGCAAGAAATTGGCCATGCTTTCTACCGACTTCCCATAATATTCAATGCATCTTCATCAGGTCTACCCCAAACTCTTTCATTTTCCGCAAATTTTATCTTTTCCATGGTTCCTATAATTCCTAATCTTAGTGGTCATGGAATTGCCTTCACGATCTCACCATCTTTGAACTTCAGCCAAGCTGAAGTAGCCCAATATTTGGGACTCCTCAATTTGTCTAACAATGGCCTCACTTCAAACCATCTGTTGGCAGTTGAGCTTGATACTATTAGGAGCCCTGAATTCGATGATGGAAAATGTCTCGTAACTCAAATTTTGTGGCTCAAAAGTGGCTCAAATGGCCAAAACGACGTCGTTTTGGCCATTTTTATGTTGTTCTGTACTCAAAACAACGTCGTTTTGGCCATTTGAGCCACTTTTGAGCCACAAAATTTGAGCTACGTAGCATTGTCGTTCAATGATATAAATGACAACCATGTTGGAATTGACGTTAACAGCTTAAAATCAATTGTATCAGCTCCTGCAACATATTATTCTAATAGTGAAGGAATAAACAAGAGCTTGGAGCTCATAAGTGGAAATTCAATGCAGGTTTGGATAGACTATGATGGAGTGGAGAATCTACTCAACGTAACACTAGCTCCTATTAGAAGCTCAAAACCATATCTGTCTCTCCTGTCAACACACATAAATCTTTCTACAATTTTCTTGAATTCTATGTATGTTGGTTTCTCTTCCGCTACTGGAGCAGTTCCAGGTAACCACTACATACTTGGGTGGAGCTTCAACAAAAGTGGGCAAGCACAGAGCCTAGACCTTTCAAAGCTTCCTTCAATTCCCCTACCAAGAATACCAAGACAGAAACAAAGTCTAGAAATTATAGTTTTATTGATAGCGGTATCCATTGTGTTGATCGTCACAATAGTTGGGACGATTTACTTTGTGTGTTTAAAATAAATTGAGATGTATATTATTGATTGATTGTGTATATATTACAAGATTGATGTGTTTTGATTTGTATGTTACAAGCTATTATGAAGATTGGGAACGGGAGTATGGGCCTCAAAGATTTTCCTATAAGGACCTGTACAAAGCTACCAAAGGTTTCAAAGACCAAGAGTTTCTTGGAGCAGGAGGTTTTGGAAATGTTTATAGAGGAGTACTTCCCTCTTCCAAGGAACAAGTTGCGGTCAAGAAAATCTCTCATGATTCAAAACAAGGGGTGAAGGAGTTTGTGGCCGAAATTTCTAGCATGGGAAGACTAAGACATAGGAACTTGGTCCAGCTCCTTGGTTATTGCAGGCGAAGGGGAGAGCTTCTCTTGGTCTATGAATATATGCCCAATGGAAGCCTTGACAAGTTCATATTTAGCAATGAAAAACCAACCCTCAATTGGACCCAACGTTTTCAAATCCTTAGAGGAATAGCATCGGCCCTTCAGTATTTGCATGAAGAATGTGAGCAAGTTGTTCTTCATAGAGATGTTAAGGCTAGTAATGTTTTACTAGATGCTGGTCTAAATGGACGGCTAGGAGATTTTGGGCTTGCTAGATTGTATGATCGTGGAGCAAACCTAGAAACTACCCATGTGGTGGGCACTTTTGGCTATCTTGCCCCTGAGCTTTCTAGAACAGGCAAGGCAACTACAAGCACTGATGTGTTTGCTTTTGGTGCATTCATGCTCGAAGTGGCATGTGGAAGGAGGCTTATAGAGCCACAAGGGTTGCCTGAAGATATGGTTTTGGTTGATTGGGTTTTTGAGAACCAGAAACGAGGAACTATTCTCTCCACGTGTGATCCTAGATTGGAAGGTGAGTTTTCAGAAGATGAAATGAAGTTGATTTTGAATCTAGGTCTGCTTTGCTCACACTCCAATGCAGCAGCAAGGCCTAGCATGAGGCAAGTGATGCGATACTTGGATGGAGATGCCCTGTTGCCAGAGATGCATCTTGATACTGCAGGTATTGGTACACTTAGTGTGGGTAATGAAGCATCTGCTGAATTTGTCATGTCATTTCCTTTGTCCGCTGAAGTTGTCTCCTCACACCATGTCTAGCATTGAATTAATACTCAATTGTGGTTGTTGAATTTGAAATCTCTATTCCTTGGATATGCTAGAACATAGTTTCAATGTGTAACTAAAAAGAATCATTGTTGTGGTTGAATTTCTATGACACGTACATTGGTAAATTTCTACCTAGTATTGATGTTGTCTGACAGTTTGTTAGAAATGATGATGAGAGAGGCTGCAACATCGCTGCTTTAAATGGAGAGTTGATGTAGACCAGGTAGTTTTGAGGTATTTGGAGCGTTTGGATCGATGAATAGCAAACTGATAAATAATGGTTCAGCCCATTTGTACGGGGAGGAAATAATTCTCCTCGTATAATCCTGTTGACCAAGTCCACGCTCCTCCGTACGACGTCGCTTTATCACCTGAAAACTCAAACGTGAGCTAGCCGGCGGGTGTGTGCCGGAAACCTCTCCGATGCCTAAGTCAGTAAGCTTGACAAATAGACAAAGTTTTATGTTCTCAAAAAGGTTGTGTTCAATTACCTCTTCCAAGGTGATGCTTGTGGGCTTTTATAAGTTTTCCGTGGCACAATCCTAGTAGGACTTGTATTTCTCCATGCAGAGTCCTCCTAGGATTCATTCTCCTAAGGATAATGCTTATCCTTTTACACCCTCCCCCACTGCTTAAACCAAGTGGGATGGTTTTCTTTATGGCCGAACTCCCATTCGACCGAAGTAAGAATGGCTATGCCGAGCCACAAAGTAGGCCATACTAACAGTAGTTCGGTTCTTCTTCATGTTACACCATATCTCGGTTCTCATACATGAACCGTGGTGTGTTTGGACCGATCACTGAGTAACAACATTACAACCGACCTATCCCGAATTCAATTATGACCGGACTACCTTTTGAGACCGGACTAACTCAAGCTGTCAAAACCGAAGCAGCTTTACATTCCTTTAGCCGAAGTAAGTCAATCATCTCCGCAGAGCCAGAGTAAATCTATCGTTCTTGAGCCGGAGTCACTTCAACAGCTCGGGCCGGAGTGACTTTTATCTCTTTTGGGCCGCAGTAACATTTCGGCCTTTTACCCAGTCCTCGGCATTTTGGGCCACCAAGTCCATCTCACAGCTCGGCCCAATTTTTACCAAAAATTACCCTCTCAATTGTTGTCCAATTTGCTGCAGAAGGCATGTTCAATTGCCAATTTAGATCTTTGTTTCGGAATTTTCATTTTTATTGCCATTTGTTTTGACAAGTTTATTTAAGTTTTTAGTATTCAAAATTTGTCGTTTTTGGTATTTTTTATTTTCCCCAATCATATTAGCAGTCCTCTATCTTTATAAATGGCACTGTAAAGCTTTGGGACTAACCGTTTTGACCATTAGAATTCTTTTCTTTTAAGTATTTCGCAATTGTTCCTGTTACACTATTCTTCTTATACAGTTGGTTTAGATGGATCAAAACCGGTTCTGCATTAAAACAACCCAATTCAAACTCAAATCCACTCATTTAATAAACGGGTTGGGTTAAATTGGATACGAGTTTGACAAATTAATTTGACCAACCTGTTGCTTTATAAGGAGGTTGTGGTAGTGGTAGTGGTGGTAGCAGTGGAATGGTGGAGGTAGTGGCGATGGTATTGGTAGTGGCAGCAGCGGTAGAGGTGCTACTCATTTAAATAGGTACTTATTAGGGGTGTTCAAATTATCTAGTAAACTAAAGAACCGAACTGGACCGAACTGAACCTCACCAACCTCTTTGAGTTGGTTTGGTTTGGTTTTTTAGTGCATTAGTTTAGTTTTAGATTTTCAAATTATCAAATGGATAGGATTGTGTTGATTCTTGGTTTAGGTCTTATGTAAACCGAACCTATTTATATACTATATATTTTAAAATTTTATTTATATTGAGATTTTTCACCTTTTTGCTCTATTACAATAGACTTGATTACACCTAATAATTTTTCATATGTAAGAATTATTAGTAAACGAAAGAAGCACTAGGAGCTTTAGTCCGATTTCATAACTGGTTTAATTTGTATTGGTTGTGTTAATAGATTTAATTTGTATTGATTACATTTAAGCTTGAGTTGGATTTAATTTGTATTGACTTGCATTAAACAATATTTTGCTCTTTGTTTGTGTTATGTTTAAATGTGAAAGATTTGTTTATTTTAATTATTTATTATTGATTAATTTGCTTATTTTTAATATAGTGGAACTGTGGTTCCAACCCGAGTTACATTGGGTTGGGTTGGTTTCTAGTGTATGATTGGATTGGTTTTGAGTCCAAAAACTTGAAACCGATTATGATTGGGTTGGTTCCAAATTTAGGGCCAAACTAAACAAAACTGACTCATGAACACCCCTAGTACTTATGCCCTATTCAATGGTTCGCAAGATGCATCTTATTAAATCATGCAACAAAATACTCATTATTCTTATTATTTTGAACGAATTATACCCCATAACCAATTTAATTGGTGTTTATTTATATGATTTAAATTGTCCAAATTATAAAATTATATTTTTGTCATTCAAATTACAATGGTCTCCAATTGAACCACATGGATAGAAATTAAAAACTTCAAGAATTGAATAGACAAAATTAATAGTTAAGGAATGAAATACGAAAAAAATAAGTTATATACTTTTGTTTTACTAGATGCTGGTCTAAATGGACGGCTAGGAGATTTTGGGCTTGCTAGATTGTATGATCTTGGAGCAAACCTAGAAACTACCCATGTGGTGGGCACTTTTGGCTATCTTGCACCTGAGCTTTCTAGAACAGGCAAGGCAACTACAAGCACTGATGTGTTTGCTTTTGGTGCATTCATGCTCGAAGTGGCATGTGGAAGGAGGCTTATAGAGCCACAAGGGTTGCCTGAAGATATGGTTTTGGTTGATTGGGTTTTTGAGAACCAGAAACGAGGAACTATTCTCTCCACGTGTGATCCTAGATTGGAAGGTGAGTTTTCAGAAGATGAAATGAAGTTGATTTTGAATCTAGGTCTGCTTTGCTCACACTCCAATGCAGCAGCAAGGCCTAGCATGAGGCAAGTGATGCGATACTTGGATGGAGATGCCCTGTTGCCAGAGATGCATCTTGATACTGCAGGTATTGGTACACTTAGTGTGGGTAATGAAGCATCTGCTGAATTTGTCATGTCATTTCCTTTGTCCGCTGAAGTTGTCTCCTCACACCATGTCTAGCATTGAATTAATACTCAATTGTGGTTGTTGAATTTGAAATCTCTATTCCTTGGATATGCTAGAACATAGTTTCAATGTGTAACTAAAAAGAATCATTGTTGTGGTTGAATTTCTATGACACGTACATTGGTAAATTTCTACCTAGTATTGATGTTGTCTGACATTTCAAGTCTAGTTCCTATTTGATCCTTTTCTGTCCAAATTTCTATTTTTTTTATGCGTACATGGTAAACCTTGAGAGATTGATAAGTACTCAAAATTAATTAATTTTAACCTCTAACTTAAACGAAATGTCCAAATTAAAATTAAACTTAAATTATAGGAATCAAATTGTTCAATTTGAAACAATCCAGATTAAAATGTTAAGTGTATACCCAATCTTTCTCTTCCAAAATACACATTAATATGTGATAATTTAAGGAATAAAAGTGAAATTAAATTAACAATTAAATTATTTTCTCTCCTCAATTCTGTTACATTTCACTCGGAAAATGAAAAAAAGAAAAGAAAAATTGATTAGAATTTTGTATGTGATAAAAAAAAATGATGTAATTCCTCACTTTCGTATTTGAATGAATTAGTAATTTTAATTTCTGACCAATGGAAAACAAAACATAAATGGGGTGTGATTACATTTTCTCACAATTTCCATTCATTTCTCGTTGTTATCTATCTCATTAACCATTTAAACAGTAATAACTTGCCTCGATTCCTCTTTTATTTGCTCACCAAATCCCTAAATCCTGTTTTTCACTTTTCAGGGATGAATTCCTGAATTTGTGGTTTCCAACTCAATTGAGACGTCTCTGAACACAGCCAATTGAAAAATCTACACAGAGAGAGAGAGAGAGAGAGGCAGAGATATGGGGATGAAGCAAGTATTGTGGAGCATGAGATTTCAAGCAGGAAACCTTTCATCGAGATTCGAGACGGTAATGAGATTGTTATTCAGCTACTTCAAACCAAATGCCCTACTTTTTTAATGGGCTTTCAAACCTGAAATATGTTTGCATAATCAATCTGTTGCATCTATAACTTGACAAACCCAATAGTCAATGCAATTGAGATCTCCTTTGCCATGAATCATTTTTATTTATTTATTTATTTATATAAGTCGTGTTTGTGTTTTGTATAATTCCTAAGTCTTACAAATTGAACTTATTAAATCATTTCAAAACTTCCAGACATTGTTCCAAAACCGAAGATGAAACTTTTCATTTGTCAATTACTTATTTAATTCCCATTCTCTTTTCCCTTTCTAATAGCGTGTATTATCATATTTTAATCACTTCAATGGATTAACTATTACCATAGTTATTTTAACAAAATTCTTTAATGCTAGCTACATTTGAAGTGTCTTTGATGGCTCTTTAAACGGTTTGTATCTATAAATAGGCAAAATAAAGATTAGTGTATAAAGATAAAAGAGGAATTAGGCAAAATAAAGAATTATCTTTTTTATATTTTAGCTACTAAAAATAAAGAGTTTGATTGGAATTGCTCTAAAAGGAAGTACAACAATTTTAAAATTTTTTATAGGATTTTGTTTTGTTTTTTTGTTTTTTTTTTTTTTGTTTGCCATAAGAATTTTTCTTTCTTTCTTTCAATTTGTAATTTTTTTTGTTGACACGGGTAAACAGTTTCTGTGTTGAGATCGTTAATCCTCATTTCACACTTGCAAATTCTATTGAATAGAAGTCTCATTCTGAAAGATTGGCTGAGACAGTATGGCACATTTCGCATATTTCGCATGACATGAAGTAAGGACTCACTTTCTATTTACCTCATTGATTACTTGTATTATTTTCTGTTTTCTATTAGTATTAAGAGTAGTGATACTAATTTGCATGACTAATAGGTGCTGTAATTGGCATTCTTATGATTGGTTTAATAGGTATTTTCTTTTATGGTTCGTGTTTTGGATTGGGTTCAATCTTGGCTAGGTATGATTTAAATTTGGAGATCAACAAGGTACTCTTCCAACTATGGTTTTGAAAAGCGGTTGTGGTCGCCGTAAAGATTGTGGTGACGCAGTGGTGGTTGCGGAATGTAAATGCTGTAGCGTAACGGTTGCGGTAACCGAAACCGTAATTTTTTTTTTTAATTTTTCACACAATTTGAAGAAAATTTACTGATACGCATATTTTTGTTTTTCAGAATCACATTTATTGGGGTTTAAAATAAATTTTGATCATTTTTTGTTAATTTTTAAGTATGATCCAATATATTTCATATTATTAAATCACTATAAAAGGAGCTTTTTAAATTTTATTTCAATAGTTAATGATTTTAAGAATAATTGATTTTAAATGTTTACAAATTATTTTTTACTAATACCTGAATTAACTGAATAAAAAATATTTATAATTATTAAATGAAAGGATTATAAAATAAAAATTGCGCCATAACTTAAAAAAAAAATTATAAAGAAAAAAAAATTCATATAAGAATTTTTCTTTGGGTTTGGATCACTTGTATTTGTTCCTTTTTTTTTGTGTGTGTGTGTGTGTGTGTGTGTGTAACAATGTCTAATGGACTGTTACGGTACTGCTACGGCCGTTACCCATGTGAATTTCCGTCACACTATTATAGCGGCCGTAACGGGTGGTGGTAACCACCACAACCATTACTGTCACAACCCAAACCCGTCCCTATAGGTTTAGCATCGTAACCGGCCAGCAATTCTTGGATTACCGAAGGCCTCTGAACAGATTAACAAAATTAAGGGGCTAGCGGAAGCTAATACATAAATATAGTTGTCTAATGAGCTGTGCTGACTTATGTGAAATAGAATATTTAAAACTTTATATACATAACCGGTAGTCAACCATGCATTATACCCACACACATTATAGTATCTTAATTCCAGCCAACAGAATTAAAACAAGTCACACATATACATAGAACCAACAGAACTTAACACAGGACACTTCGGGAACCTCTACGTGAGGCGCAGTGGTTGGCTGACAACAGAAACATAGTTCTAGACAAAAGCTTTCAGGCTCGGGCTCCAGAATGCTCACCTATACATATATATACACACAATGAGCTAAAGTCTAATGAATAACATTAAGGTAAAGGGGTTAGTGAACGAAATCCGATTATATCATAAGTGTAAAACAGATCATAGCATAATCATTCTCATATCAGAATATAATAATCGTACATCCCATAGAACACATCACAGAACATCTTCCGACTAGAGTAATCGGTTCCGGATACCGATTAAATACATATCACCACAATGAAGTGGCTAACGAGATCTCGTAATTACTTGTATGTCATGGACCCGCATTTTCATGCCGTCCCCCATGACTTGGGACTATCTATGGATGCCATAATAGATTTCAAACTTGGAATGTTTGTTCACGTAAACAGATAACATTTCAGAAATCATAACTTATCATATTTCATTTGGAACATAATTCATATGAACGTATCTTTACGATAACGTTACTCACAGTGGTTCCAGTAAGCGGTTAATCAATCCTCGAGTCTTGACCTATAATTACAAAATACATAGCACAAGCATGTCTTATCATTACACATTCAAGTGGCCATTAAGGCTTAACTTTTATTACATTGGTTCTTATTCTTTTTTACCATATTGCCTAAAACACACATATTTGCAGTCTCATAACTTAGTACATAACCCTCTTAATATGGCTTAATTAAGGCTTAGGAATGCCTAAGATGCAATGAGGATACCAAAACATGCCTTGGAACACTTGGTAAAATTTTCTGAAAATAAGGTCCCCGCTCGAGCGTAGACTTCCTTGCTCGAGCGGACATGCAAAATGAGAGGGGCCGCTCGAGCGTGACTTCCTCCACTCGAGCGACCTGAAAACTTGGAAAAAGTACTGGTTGGTCGAAATCCACGCTCGAGCTACAACTCCCACGCTCGAGCGTATCGACAACATGCAAAGGGTTCGCTCGAGCGTCCAAGTGGTCGCTCGAGCGGAGAGCTCATGTCTGAAAAAAAAATATTGAGAGCGCCCGAGCGCAGGTTTCCTCGCTCGAGCGGACTATAAAATTCTGGGGTTTTTCAAAACAGGGTTTGAGCTTCAAAATGTGATTTTAATGGCTATACTCTTGTAAAGCTTGATCAAAACAGTTGGAAGGCCCTTCTAAAACACAATTACATGATCACTCTTAAACATTTAGCTCAAAACTCATGGATTTAGCAAATTCGAACTCCAAAGCTCATGCATGGAAGATTTTCAAACTCCTTTCTTTTGTTCTACAAAACATGCAATGAAAACCATAAGCTCATGAAATTTTGAAACATGAAACATGATAATTTCTTGAAGATGATGAGTAAAACTTACATGCATGGAAAGATTTCAAGAGCAAAACCCAAGACATGAATGAACAAGGTATAATCCTCCATAAACATGCACATAAGCCATTTTCTTGCTAGAAAACCCAACTTCACTTCAAATTCCAGTAATTGATTCACCAATTTCTTAGTATAAGATGCACGGAAGGTTGTCTACAAAAGAATAGGCTCTAGACTCTTACCTAGCTTCTTGATTTCGAACAATGAGAGATGGTCCTCTTAATTTCCTTATTCTTCTTCAACCTCAAGAGCTCACTCTCTAGTTACACTCTCTCTCTCACACAAGAGACCAAAGAGGCAAACTACCACACCCCCACACTCAGCTGAAAATACACAACGCACACCTCACTTTGAGCACCATACACGTGCACACACATGCACACTTCCAACACACATACACATGGGTTTTAATCCCCTACACTCAACACCACAAAATGCCTCAACACATCATACACTCAATCACATCTTGGATCATTAATAGGATTAGATTAGGTACCAATCATGCATTACTTAAATCAAACATAAGTAACCTTAATTTATTCAGGTTAGCGCGAAATTCAACTAATCCAAATTAGTTCCCATCAAGGTTCAATTTAATCACATGCGATTTTTACCGAACCGAATCAATTCTTAATAAAATTTGCCATGGTGTTCTAAAATTTCCAAATAACACGTTGATGTAATCAATTTCGATTTCGGATGTCGATAAGGCTTTCAATTTACATCTTAAAACGGAATCCAAACAGATATTTCTACACGTAACAGATAGGAGGCCAATATCATGTAAAATTCCATAATAATCCCATAATTTATTTTATCCACTTAATTAACATCTTTGATTACTGACTAATGGCTAATTGCGGGTCGAGGTTATTATAGTCTCCCCACCTTAAAAAGTTTGGTCCTCCAAACTTGAGTTAACATATGTTAGAAATACAACTTCAACTCTTTACAAAACAGAAGCATAACCAGATTCATAAACATGTTCATGATCCAATCTCAAACTTAGCTTGTACAGAAACAGACTCATAAATCAGATACAGAGATTAGGGTTCGTATTAAAACAGAGTCTTATACACATCCAGATTTTTGTCCAGAACAGATTCAGATACATGTTCATTTTCATATTCTTGTCGAGATCATACACGGATGTCACAAATCTGCTTAAGCATACGTGGTGCATTCATTAGCACTAATAGAGTAGATACAGAACAGATGCAGACATGGCAAATACAGAACAGATACAGACACGTGATGGTTATGAATAACCAGTTTCATAAAGGAACCTCCGAATCCGGGCAACAGAACAGAAACTGAGCCCCCGTGACAGGGCCTCCGGTACGGGTAACAGAGTGCAGACAGAAATAAGTTCTATAAAGGAACCTCCGATACCGGGTAACAGCTAACAGATATCACATAATACCAAGAGTCACACAAATACATATCAGAGATTGGACAATTATTCCTGGCACAACACATAATATTTCAGAAAGCAGATCCCCTTTAAACACACAGAAGACACACAGAAAACAAATACAGTTGAACATAACTTTACTACGTTATTATTCACATTATTTATATCAAGTGCTTATGGGACGTCATAGATTCACACTGTTTCCCGTTATTAAGTCACAGAGACTAGATTTACTCACTCCTGAGTCATCCATCCAGTCCTTGTTCGATTTGGTTTTCAATCCGGTAATCTTATTACAGTTAATCCAGGTCATTCTGAAGTTATCATTCATATACTATTCATCAGCCTCAGTTTCCACAGATTCAATCGTACTATGTGTCAATACAGAAACAGTCATACTGATTGCATATCCTCCCAGGTAATTAGAGTTTATAATCAACCAGTCTGTTGCCACAAATCCCATCAATTTTGAAGTACAGTAACACCAAAGCAATTATTCTCTAGTCAACCAAGTTCATGGTCAAAACAGTAATACCGGGTAATTAATCACATGTCATATATACAGTATTCCCATTTCTCCAAGCATAAGTTACCAAATTCCATAATCCCATTCGCGTGTTTCCAATCGATTATAGGCGTATGGTAAAAAGTCATCTATAACCACGTAGTCTACTGTTAACGGTTCACATTCTTCCTAAGCGTTTGAGATCGATTCAAAATTTTCATTCGGTTAGTTCCCTTAGCAACACAGCCCTGTCATTCAATCATAAGCAATTCACACTCCCCCATAATGTAACCAAATCAGATAATACCTCTCAATAAGGTCTCCTTAGATCAAATCAATAAAAGTTCAACTAGGTCATATTAGATAAAAGTTCTACCCAGTCACATCAACCAAAAGTTCGAAGCGTGAGTCATCAGACAGAAGTTCTCTTAGGTAAACAAAGGCCTCATCAAACCATAGTTCTATCAGATCAGATCAGATAAAGGTTCTATTCTTATTATTTCCAAACGAAGCCCATTTGGTTCTATAGTTCATACTCCATTCGCTTAGGTGCATAGTCAGTAGTTCTATAGTTGTTCTAAGTTCCTCGGTTTTCAAATCACCTCAGAGTTATGTGTCATAATAGTTCATGTCAAAGTGTTTCAGGTCATATACAATGTGTTTCCTGCTAATAATTCTACAGGTAAATGCACATGCATGCAGTTATCACATCGAGAGGTAAGCATCACAGTCAGTATAGCAATTTCCCAAATGAGTCTTTCATGTAAGCATAAGGTACACAACGGTGTATCACATAAAGTTTCTCGGTGGTATACAA